CCTTTACTAGAAGTATTTTCTATTTAAGGTTATTAAGTAATTATAGTGTAGGGTTAAAAGACGGTATTCTCTAGTGTAGGTGCGCCGCTCGCTTATCTACGCCGCTCGCTTATCTACGCCGCTCGCTTATCAACCACGTTATACTTTTTAAAAAACTATACTAATATATATAATATTACTAAAAGTATAACTTAATTATAATTAGATAATATAGATTAATTATCTTAAGTTTATTAGTAACTATAATCTATTTATATTTAATTTCTTAATTATTTTATTAATCTTTTTAAAAATTTAAAACTTTTAAGAATAACCTATTTTTTAGTTTTTAACTTTATTAAATATTTAAGTATAAAATAATATTTTTATTATATTTTATTAAATACTAGCTTATATTAATAGCTTATTTTATACTTAACTAGTTTATAATCTATCTTTTTTAATTAAAGAAAATTATATTTATAAGATTTAAAAAATTTAAAAAAAGTATAGTATTTTTTAAATTTAAATTAATAACTAATTTTTATATTATAAGTTATAAAAAACTTATTTTATATAATAAAAGATATAAACTACTTTATTTATTAATTCTATAATTTTAAATTTATTATACACTTAAATATTTAATATTTAAATCTTAACGTTCTTTTTTTTTAAACTATATTTATAATTATCTTTTATTATTTTATTTTATATAATTATAATAATCTAACTTTATTATTAATATAATTGATAACTAAAGTATATAAATTTATTTTTAGTTTTTTATTATTATTTATATTAAATTAGTTATAGTTATTTAAAGTTACTTTATCTAAGTTTAGTAATATTATATATTTTAACTAAAAATAGTAAAGGTTTAATATTTATAGGTTATATATAATACTTAGCTATAATTTAACTATTTTTAATTTAGAAAGGATAAAAGTAGGTCTATTATAATTAGGAAAAATAGGGCTTTCTAATAGTACTACTTATATAATTATAACCTTAATAGTTATCCTTATAATTTTATTAGCTATATCTGCTAGGATAAAGTTTATTTAGAAAAGGTAAATGACCGACGTAAAAGTTTAGTAAGGTGCTTAGTGCTACGGAAGCCTCCCGGTTAAAATACAACCCTCATTTGCTAATTACGAACCGAGCGTGTGACATTTCCGACAAAAATAGTTCCAGAAATCGGTGGTCGCTTTATTTAAAGTCAGCCCTACAAAACACTTAAAGCAAGGGGACCTAGTTATAGCATGAGCCGTGATCCACGTTAGCATTATTGCATGAATGGTAGGGTATACTAAATTCTTAGGCTAATACCACTTGTTTGAGAAAGAAGAAGGATCTCTTGGCGTGATTAGCGGGATGATTTATTTGGTATTGACTCATATAAATTGATGAGTAGTTCGGCCGCTTGAGTCACTCGGTTTCAAAAAAAATGATTCATTCTCCTGGAAAAGGATTCGGCATAACTCCAAAGCCTTTACACGAGACCACGCATAGTAGCTCAAATTAAACATGAATGCTTACTCCGTATATACCCTATTGTCCCTTTCTGGGTGGGATCCTGACACGCGGCCGATTGTGTTGACCCGAGTTGAACTATGCCTCGCCGAGCGCTTCTGAGCGAACTCGCTCATGCCCTGATCTTGAGTTCCTTTAAGCAATGATGATTCAGTCACTATAAGTGGTTTTTTTATATAATCTGTTATAAAATTATATAACTTTAACTACCCTAGTTAACCCCCTAGTCAGCTATAATCTAACCCTAGTTCACGAAGTACCTTTTCTAATAGGGGCGTCTTATATTAGTAAAAAGAGCTCTTTCTCTACCTTTTCTAGTGACTTATTAGTTACGCTCAGAATACTGGTGACTCACTCAAGTACTGGCTGTACTGGCCACTGTACGGCTGCTGTAGCCACTGTACAGCTTCTGTAGCCACTGACTGTACGGCTGCTGTAGCCACTGTACGGCTGCTGTAGCCACTGTACGGCTGCTGTACTGGCCACTGTACGGCTGCTGTGTGGCTACTGTACTGGCTGTACGGCTTCTGTACAGGGGATAGACGGTACTTTGTGCTGTGGCCCGCCGTGGCCCACCGTGGCTAGCCCTGTGGGTTCTTCTTCGATATATCTCATAGTGATTAAGTCACTTTTTAAAAAAAACTCAAGATCAGGGCATCATCTACGCAAGGTTTTACACCGAGTAGACACCAGCCGGCTGCGATACCTGTGCAGTTATATTGTTGTTACTTGAATGGGCGTAATACTGTGGTCTACAGCCGCGGCTAATAACAGGCATTGACTTGGGGCTGGTCTTTCCGCGTTACTCTATCCGTAACTTGAAGCAAGATAAGTGCAAACTTGGGAGGGGCCCTCGTATAACAGCTCTACCAATTAGAAGCTTTCAAGCTTTTGCACCATGACGCCTTCTGCCTGCGCCCAGTGATATAGCCACGTGGCCATCCGTCGCCTAGTGTTTAGAACCGCCTGCTTAGAGGCCAATCAACACCTTAATGGCAGGTTCTGAATCGCATGCACTTCTCACTGTTTTAAGAGAAGAATACCCTACGTCTTTCACCCCCATTTTTTTCCTTTCATAATTAAAGTTATTTATAGCCTTATATAAGCCTAATTTAGTCTTTTTATCATTTAAAATAACTTATATTTTCTTAGCCTTTTTTATAGGAGTCTATTTTATTATATTTTTTAAAAAAAAAAACTTAACTAATATACTTCTTTTTATATAAATAGATTAATATAGTATTAGTCTAGTTTACTTAGGCTTATTTACTATAACTTAAGTCTTAATTAATATTAAAGATATAAGTATAATTAGTATAATCTTATAAAAGCTTAATTATACTTATTTAATATAAAAACTTACTCTTTTTTTATTATAATTATTATATATATTATTTTAATATATATATACTTATATTAATACTTTATTAATATATTATATCTTATAGATATTTATAATTAGTTATAAGAGCTATTTTATTTTTATATAAGTAATATATAGACTTATACTTAATAAATTATTTTGTTTTAGATTATATAAGTTAGTTTATATCTTATAATAGCTTATATAGGCCTATAATATACCTTCTTAATATATTTATAAAGATCTTTAGGTAAATAAAGATTTATATAAAAAGAAGCTAAAATAGAATATAGAGATAATAACTAAAGTATTATAATTAGAATATAATATCATATATAATAAATAGTAAATAGAAGGAGATTATCTATTAAAAAGGGGAATAAAAGAATAATTAAAAAGGATTAAAGAAAATTATAAATATATTAGTTAAATCAAAGCTATAAAAGAAAGAAAATAAATTAAAATAGGCTAGAAAATAAATATTTATATTATTATAAGTTTATACCTAAGAGTTCTGCCCTAGTATATATATATATAATAGAGTTACCTAGTAACTAGCCCCGCATAATACGCCTTGGGCGTGATTATAATAACACGTATGTGATAGACAGTCCGCCGTACATATAGACCAATGACTCGCCAAAGGCCCTCATTCCTCCGCCGGTGGTGCCGAGAAGTGGGTGGTGCCAAGAAGTGGGTGGCCGACGTTATTCTGCGGTTGGCCTTACAACTTTAGATTTGTCTCATAATCCACTATTTGTGTTTCGGCTGCTAAGCGCGTCACGACAAAGACAGCAAGAGAGTCTGACGATAGATAAGTAGTACTGTACCTGCGTCTGATCTCGTTTTTTCTTTATGCCAACGTATAAAGAACGTATAATCACCCCAGCGAGCCAGCTAGCCCGGATCCCATATACGACTTTCAACGTCTACCTCGTAGATGCATACAACTTGAAAACTGACGACAGCAACTGTCTATATCAGGCGGCCCTCCTCCTCGTCTCCACTTGCAATCAATTGCCTATTCAGTAGCGTGTGTTCTCGACTCGCATGCTATATATTATACTGACAACCCGCCTCTGCATTTTCCTTTCTTGCACAAGCTTCTAAAAGTCGGCAGTGGCCTTACAACTGGGTCATTATACCAAATAGCGCCGACTCGACACATCGGAAAGTTCTCAGAGATCTTCGGCAGTTCTATCTCTGAGACTTAGGCAATCTGGCTCGGCATTTGGCATGAAGATGCCCCCGACGGGGCTCATCTACTCCATAGTAGCGCGCATTCGCATACAATGTCTTCTGATTGCGCTCTTCTTTCTCTGCGGAGCTGCAATATTCAGCATCAGTTTCTTTACACGCTATTCAGAATCATTTCAACTACCGTTTGTATCATCAGATGAGCGTCTTCGAGTCTTACCAACGGACAACTCATCGAAGGGTGGCAAGGGTGGCAACTCTACACTGGGCTTCGATGCAATCTATTATATCAATTTGCCACATCGATACGATCGCCTTGATGCTTTGTCCCTTCAATCATATCTTTCCGATATCGACATAGTCGAATCATTGGCGGTAGATGGAGACACACTACGCGACGATGGCCTACCACCTATGAAGGACCTTGACTCTTTGAGCAAAGGCGCAAAGGGATGTTGGAGAGCACATGCCAATGTAGGACTTTGAACATCCGCAATGCTTGTCTTACGCCATAGTTGCTAAAATATTCACTAGATTTGGGCCAAAATGCTTAGAGACAAAACGCAGAGCGTATTGGTTATAGAAGCAGATGCGACATGGGATATCCACATACGAAAGATCTCGGAAATCGCCGCGGACCACGTGTCTCAATACATCCTTCACAATAATATGACACGATTGCCAACCCAGCTTGTCCAAAACTTCTCAGACACTTCTGTGGCAACGCCACCGCCCAGATCTCCTGCTGATCCATGGCTAAGGGAGTATTGGGATGTACTCAGCCTTGGCGCCTGCCATGAAAGCGTGCCAAAGCAGAATTCAACTGCTAATATTATATACCGGGATCCGCACGCACCTACAGGCATAACGTTTGCAGGTCAAGAGTTGCATCGAGAAAGGGCTATATATGCGGCCTCAAGCATGATCTGCACTACTGCATATGCAGTCAGCTTGACTGGGGCAGCTAAGCTGCTTCTACGATCGGCGTTGAACCTCGACGCTCCAGTGGATTTACTAATGTCCCAGATGATAGGGGAAGGGAAGTTACAGACACTGAGCGTATTCCCACCCATCATGGGACAATGGACATACGTTAACAATATCGGCATGAATGAACGTGGGTCTAACAGTGACATTTTGGGCAACAGTGACAACTCCAATAATGATAGTGGCGATATGACAGGTTGGGACGACGCTATGAGCGCTCACAATATCTGGAAAACAAAAGACTATCACGAAAACACCGCCTTTGAGGAGATGGCGCTTCAGGTCGCCTGGAAGCATATATTTTCTAGCGAACTTTGATCTTAGTGCAGAGTACCCAGCCACCGAAACACCGAGCTGGTATAGCAGGGACCAGAGGCCGAACCGTTTCCTGTGCGAGCTCTGTGGGCGTGATGGATCCAACAGGGAGGATAACCGCGACAAGCACCGCAAACTTCATGCGCGCTTCGATGGTAGCAGCTGCGATATTGCATCTATCCTTGCAGTCGTGGCGATCATCGGTACTGCTAATAGTATGGCAACATGACAATATACTACCGTACCCACGGTATGATATGCGCCCTTTGCATTGCACTAATACAATAAGATCATCCGCACATTGTGATAATACAATATACACATCATCATATTGACAGCATACCATTTATATTGTCCTTTTTGCCATACAGTAGTTTGGCCGATTCTTCTGTGGCATGATGTAGGGTCGCATCGATGCGGCCGACACCAAGTTGTGATCAATGTCTCACACGTTCAAATGAATGCTGTGGAAGCAGCTATGACTAGAATGACCAATTTACTTACCCATGGCCATTACTCCGTTCCCATCCACCGCTGACCTTGCACATTGACTATTGCAGGATACGCGGCCTCCTTTGCCGCTGCGTCAACTGTGCATTCCCCAGGCCGTCAATGCCTCAACAGCATCTCGACTTTACTTTACTCCAAACCCATGGAAGTTCACTCCGGCACACTCAAATAACGACTCAGTCCTCTCCAACTCCCCATTGCACGACTCTGACGACGGTATCACGCCCAAGTGCCTATCACCGGTATCCCACTTAATCTCGTCATCTTATGGGCCCAGCCAAGTCAAGAACTAACTATTGGGAATAAGCCATCGTTACAGGTCGGTGACGACCAGCGAACACCGGGTGCTGTACATGTTTTTTTTCTCGTTTTTCTTTTTTTTGGCTCGATTGTGGTATTATCGCGCAATGGAAGCTTACTCCCTGGGGTTCCCATTGGGCTCGTTGTTGGTGGCGCCGATGGTGGAGTGCATCATGAAAGATGGACTCGCTTTGAGAGAGGCTAGTGTGTTGAGAAGTGTGCTGCTAAATTATGATGGAAAGCCAAGTATTACGGCCCGATGACGATGGTTACTTCTTATTTCTCAAATTCGCGTGATTTCTATTCGTCTTCGATCTCAAAGAATGGATAATAAGATGCGAAAAGCTTCAATCTTGTAGCCCTGCTTGCCTTGCCTGGCAGACGGCTCGATGCCGCATCAATTTTACAAGACGGTGATAACATCGCCATTATTAGACACTTTGCGTTATCGAGTCTAGGATGCTGACTTTACATGCCATCACCGCATTGCATAATTTCCAATGCGATCTTGTCCGTCCAACTATTCACCTCAGACAGGTACTCATACCTCGCCTTTACAGACCACAACCAGCCAGTGCCGGTATGCAGCACATCCAGCTGTAATCATGAAAGCTTGCGATACAAAGTGCGCAATATACGGAGCATCTGAATATGGTACTTGACTGCTACAAATGGCCAATTGAGCAAGTAATGCCTTTTGCGCAATTCGGTGTGACTTACACTGACCCACTCTAGCCAAAGTCTCTCGCTGTGCCTGACTACAAGCCGATCTAAATAACGAATATACAAGTATTCATCGTATCTGCTCATCGAAATCAGTGATGACGCTTACCCTTCTTTTTGTCTTCCGGTTGAACTAGTAATATTGCTGCGTAGTAGCAGTAGCACACATGCCACGACATGCCAGATTGCAGCCCCAATCTCATGCCATGCTGAGCCTAGATCCAGTCTCGGCAAATAGAAGCGAGCAAGTATTGCGCTCTCGATGTTTGTCGTATATCATATCTCTGTCGGTATTATTCTGGAGTCCAACTTCTGTCAACATATGGGGTCTTGTTCTTCAGAGGCTTCCATCATCAAGAGGCAGGCTAAGCCTTGCAGCTTCAATCTCAGCCCGCTCTCATGCAAGTTGCTTTCTGTATTTGGATCTTCTGTGCTGTGGAGGTACCATCCACCGGTCTGAAGCCGATGGTCCTGTGCGGAGTTTCGCATGCCTTTCAAACCTTTGCAGTTCTGCTCTGGCTGATTCTTTGTGATGCTTGCAAGGTTGGTACTGTGTTCCCTGCTTAGATGAAATGCGCAGCCTTCACCTCAAGTAGACGCAGCACGATAGTGACAGATGAACAAAAGTTTGGTTGAAGGAGGAAGCTAAGTAGACCAAGTTAAGAAGAACAATGAAGATTAGAATAAGATAAAAACAAAATCCCCGTCTGTCATCTTTTATCGGCCCCAATGTTCCCATGTCCCAATGTCCAGTCCGGTTCAGCCAAAGAGCCCCAAATCCACTTGTTTGTTGAACTGTTCCCAAAACACCTATTTCAAAAGATTCCATCGTAAAATGGTCCTCCAAGATGAGCGAACAATAGAGCATATAGAAAAAAAAACACCACTTCATGAGCATAACAACCTGGAGTCCGCAGCCAAGAAATGTACCAAGCTTGCCCAAGTACACCACAAGGGTCGTGAGACGTTGCGAGAAACCTGGCTGCCAAGACAAAATCACATGAAATCAAAAGCACGAGAAAGAATGGCCTCCATCGCCGCAAATTCAACCTGTGCAGCGTGCGCCAGCGTCATATTGTCGAAAGCAGGCCCTGTAGGGTAGTCGGCCTCGACCCAGAAGTAACCCCAGTAGCCGTCAGTGGATTTGGCTTTTTCCTGGATGCCGCGGCGCTCAACGTGGGGACGCGAAAACACGTCGCGCATCGTCTGCTCGCGCATCGCAGCAATGTACCACTGCCAATCTGCGTCAGTGGCAGAGAACAACAACAAGGGAGGCTGGGGGACAAGGAACTTACCTCGACCATATCAAGAGGCATGCCGGGCTTGGGGGCGAGGGCGTACTGGTGGCGCCAGCTGTTCGCGAAACGGGGCTGACCGTAGGAGCGCTGCTCATTGTCCGACATGCCGACAATCCAGGCGACGTCGTCTTTCATCAGGACGGTGAAGCCAGGACACTCCATAGCGGCCTTGACCACGCGGCGCAGTAGCTGCTTGTTGAGTGTGACGGGGTCGTCGCCCTTGTCGAGGCTCTTGAGGAGAAGACGCAGCAGATCGCAGGTGGCGTGGAAGACAGCGCTACGCTGGCTCACTGTGATGCAGTCGGTCATGTACCAGGGAAACTTGCGCAGCGTGCTGATGAGGCATTCGTAGGGGCGCTGCGGACACTCCTTGGAGAAGGGTGACTACGAAAGAGAAAAAGAGAAATGCAGGTTAGTGACAAGTTGGTTGTCGTAGGACGACGATGCGATAGAGAAGAGGAACATACTCGATGGGGGACCTCGACGTGCTTCACGAGCATGACCATCTCTTCGGCAGAGATGAAGCCCTTGAAGTTGGACCATGGCTCATTGGGCTTGAGCGGCTGGATCTCGGGGGTGACGCCTTTCCAGATGACACCAGCTGCAACGGGGAACAAATCCTTCATCAGGTTGGCCTGACTAGAGAGCTGCAAGTCCACGGGACGGTCTCCCAGGCGCGTCGGGCGGCCGGAAAGCTGGTTCTGAGTATGCTTCTCAACAGCACGCATGGCATCCTCGAGAGTCATAAACTCGACGTAGGCGTCCATGGTCTTGCTGGTGACCTTTTCCATGATGATGTGAACGGGCTCCTCGGCGTCATTCAGGATCTTGGAGTTGCGGCCGAGAAAAGCAATCACCTCGGAACGCTTCGTAGCAAAGGGAATCTGCAGTTGTCAGTTATGAGACCATGAGGGAGTTTGTTTATTTGTTTAGCTGGCTGGTGCACGTACGTTACCAAGGCGGACGACACCTTGGTTTCTGCCTGTGGCCAGTTTGGCAGCTTCGACAAACGGCATGTTGCTCGGGTCCAGAACAGCTGCGAGCTGAGCGCCACCCCAGGCCGGGTTCGTCAGCGCCTGGAGCGTCTCGGAGCGCCCTTCACAGATCTCAGTGGGCGGTTGGTACACAGTGAGGCTCTGAGGGGCCGGAAGAGTCTGCTGGACAAGGGCTCCAAGATGCTTGTCAAACGCCTCGGGAGACGGCAGCGTCTGATGGTCACTCTGAGACACCGTGGGCAGCTCTAGATTGAACTTGGGAGGCGGCTCGCTGGAAATGGGCAGGCCAGAAGTGCGGGGCGCATAGTTCCTGGGTTCCGTCATGCGGCCAAAAGTCGGCATCGGGCTGGCGATGCTGCTGCTACCGCGAGTGTGCTGACGCATGCGAGGGGGCGGCGGAGAAGTGATAAACGTGTAGCCGGAGAACGCCTGATCGCCGCCGCGGGGCTCGTCGCCGTGGCTCTTGGCCGGAGTGCCATTCTAGGGCGTTCCGACCGAAGAGACTGAGCCCCCCGCGATGGCCTGGGATAGGAGTTCGCGTGCAAAGTCGTCACTAGATGTGAAGCTCGTGGCAGACGAGGACAGGTCAGAGTCCGCTGGAGCAGTATTGGTGCCCTTTTGACGGGTAAGCGCAGTGCACAGAGCTGAAGCAATTATGATGTTTTACCTTGGATGTGGTCGGGGAGAGTTCGCCCCAGGTGGGGGGAGTCCAGACGGCTGACTCGGGATTGAGCTTGCTCTGCAAAACAATGGCCGAAGAGATAGAGTCCACACGGGATAGCACGTCCGAGGATGAGTGAGACGTATTAGAATCGGGAGGTGAGGGAAGCGAAGGGTCAAAGCTGTTATAGGAGCTCTCCGGACCTGAAGAAAAAAGCTTCAAAAGCGAATGACTTTCGGTGGCCATTTTGAAGCGCTGGCGAAGGAGTCAGTGACTGGCTAAACAAGATTGAGAGAAGAATGTAGGTAACAACTTACACGACGCAGCAAGGCCGGTTGTAGATGAAGTAGAAGAAAGATATGGGCTCAAAGCGCAAGCCGAGAGAGAAACTCGAGAGAGATTTGAACGACAAGGAAGAAGTTGTTGCTGAAGATGGGTGCTTTACGTTGTTACAAACGCCGCCTCCGTGTCGAGAGGCTTGGGATCAAATGAAGCCAATCGACTGGGTGTGAGAGAACAGGAAGAAGAATGAGGAAGGAGTGCACAAGGAAAAGAAGAAGAGGCAAAGGATGAGGAGGAGGAGGAGGAGGAGGAGGAGGAGGAGGAGGAGGAAGAATCACTGCCCGTAAGTACTTAGGTAGTGTATGTATACTAAGATAGCCAGCTGGCGCTGTGGGTGAGGTGCATGGCGGTGCATGATGTTGCAGCTGAGCTCCGTTTGTCGAGTTGATTTGACGGCCGCCGACATCGCCAAACGCAGCGGGTCCCAACCACTCATTCTATTGTCGATGAACCACAATACTTCCGGTTCTCACTTCAGTTCTTACCCTGGCCAACTTTGGACCAAGAGATGGCACGCCAATAGCGTTATAAATTGTGTCATTTGCTACATTATTCGTAGCTGATGCGTCTAAAACTGACATGGGCGAGCCCAGCCCCCTTATATCTACGACTTGATCGTACGGTTTTCCTACCCTCAATATCACTTTTTGTCGCCTCAATTGAACTGGAATCATTAGTCAAGATTTTTCGGTGGTTCCAAGCAGTACGTACCGGTGTTAAGAAAGACTCTGCTACGAAACGCGCTCTGGCGTTCAACTGCCAATTGTTAGCCAAGCTCATCAGTACTTGATTTGCGATACATACAAAGAGCTTCATCTCGGAAATCTCCTTGTCGACATCTTCCATGAACTGTATGATAAAGTCGACCAGCTTATGTTTCAGCATCTCGTCCGTGTGGAAGTTTGTTATTAAGAAGGAAATATCATAGCCCTAGAAAACAGTTAGCCAACAGCGCCGCCAGCGCCGGGGGGTCGGTCGAAGTAGCGCATGTGTACCTTGATCGGCTTTCTTCTGAGAATAAAGAAGGACTCCGCTCTTTGCGTTAAGAATCGAGTAAACTTGTGTACAAGGATGTGCTCAATCTCGTCTGCCTGCTTGATCTTGATGCTTATTCTGATCGAGTTGATGCTGGGTTCGATCAAGACGCGCTCATTTTCGTTGCGCGCGACCGTCAAAGGTGTCAAGAGCACTTCGGGTGATGACTGGGCCTCGATCTCGGGGACATTGTGTCGTTCGGCCGTCTGCGAGGCGAAGTTGGAAAGCGTCAAGGCGGCCGTCAAGCTGCTGCGGACGCACTGGAGATAGGGACGGAGGGATTGAGACTGTCACCCGCCGCTGTCAGCTCGAAGCACAGTTTTTCGCCTGATTTTGCGGCGCGCACTTACCATGGCTGGAACAAGGGACGCCGCAGCTGGGCGCTCGTCGTGATGCTGCTGCTTGTTGCTTTGTCCGGCGTCACTGCTGCTGGCTGCGACAGCGGGGTCACGTATTGGAGCTCACGGCCTGACGTCTGTACGTGGGGCTGAGCCACGAAACGACGTATGCATCACGTGAAAACTGTGGCGCGTGAATGTTGGCGTGTGGCGTATTCACTCTACACTGAAGCCGTGCTGGGATCCGCTGGCAGCCGCTGGAACTCAATCAAGTCGCTGTGATTGGAAGCAACATGTAATAGTAGCAGCAAGTCACTGGCGAGTCGATTCGATGAGAGGAGAAAATACAAATGTAGTATTGCTGGGAAAAACGTTCAAAGCTAGTACGGCATTAGTTGACAAGCCAAAAAGGGCTGTCTAGTCTTAATTGCACAATTTTGTAAGCTGGTACAACGCGTCTGACGCTGTAAATCAGGTACCCAACAGTGACGAAGCTCAACCTTCGCTCCGTCTCCACCATCTTCGATGACAAAACTCCCAGTCCTCTTACGGTAACTAACCATCTTCCCGACATTGCGAACGTCAGTAATTCCATACGCTCAACGAGTGACTTTCTGCGACGAGAAGTTGGATTACACGTCTACGCCAATTTAGTCACTCGCCATCATTATGGCAATCATACCTGGTTTGTTACCCCGCCATTCCCTGCGCGTTCCAAACAGTAACTGATGGCAACAGTGGTTGCCAAGCACCAAGGCAAGAAGTACGATGTTGAGGTCGACACTGATACCACTGGTCTCGACTTTAAGCTACAGATTTATTCATTAACCGATGTCGAACCCGAACGCCAAAAGATCCTCGTCAAGGGTGGCCAGCTCAAGGATGACGCCGACATGAGCAAGCTCGGCCTCAAGGCCAACCAGGTCTTGATGGTCATGGGCACGCCCAGCGGTGGCACCGGCGAACTCGTACGCCCCAAGGACCAGATAAAGTTTGTCGAGGACATGACAGAGGCCGAACAGGCTCAGCAGGTCGGCGCCACTCCCGCTGGTCTGATGAACCTGGGCAACACTTGCTACCTCAACTCGACCCTCCAGACTCTCCGCGCCATCCCCGAACTCCAAGATGCCCTCAAAGACTACAATGGGAGCCAATCATCTGGTTTGATGGCTGGCATGTCGCAGATGGATCTGGCCTCTCAACTCGCTACACTTTACACGAGGATGAGCGCTACGCAAGACCCATTCCCTCCCATGAATTTCCTGAGTGCTCTGCGCGTTGTATTCCCCCAGTTTGCTGAAAAGGCAAAGTCCAACAACGGTTATGCGCAGCAAGATGCAGAAGAAGCTTGGTCCCAAATTGTGCAGCAGCTCGGCGAGAAGATCCAGATCAAGCAAGAGGGCGGCCCTAGCACCTCGTTTGTTCAAAAGTACATGAGCGGCGAATTCACCTCATCTATGGAATGCGATGATGAAGACGCCATTAAAGCAGGCGAGAAGGCAGTCGTCTCCAAGGATCATTTCACAAAGCTCAACTGCCACATTGACGGCCAGACGAATCACCTTCGCGACGGCATCCTCGCTGCGCTCAGCGAGAAGATTAACAAAAATTCGGAAATCCTCGGCCGAGATGCGACATACACGAAGCGATCAAAAATCTCTCGAGCCCCCAAATACCTCACCGTTCACTTTGTTCGTTTTTTCTGGAAGCGCGATACCCAGAAGAAGGCCAAAATTATGCGCAAGGTCACGTTTCCCCAAGAACTCGATATTGTCGAATTCTGCTCCGAGGACCTGAAGAAGGCTCTTGTTCCGGTACGCGACAAGGTGCGTGAAGTACGCAAAGACGAAGAAGATATCGAGCGTGCCCGCAAGCGACGGAAGACGAACAACAACAAGGATGACATTGCTGGTGGCGCGGGTCTCCCTAGCGAGAGAGAAATCAAGGAGAAGGAAAAGGCCGAGGCCGAGAGGCAGAAGCGGACCGGCGAGAAGCCAGCCGAGAAGTCAGCTGATGGCGATACCGAGATGGGCGAGACGTACAAGACGGATGCCGAGGTCGAGGCGGAGCAAGCTGCCGCTCTCCTCGGCGCCAAGAAGGAGCTGAATGCCCTAATTAACCCTGAGTTGCGGAATGACGATGGCGCCAACCAATCTGGCTTGTATGAGCTTCGCGGTGTCGTGACGCACCAGGGCGCCAGCGCTGACAGCGGTCACTACACCGCATACGTCAAGAAGACTGCTCCCATCGATCCCAAGACTGGTCTCAAAGGTGAGGAGGACGGCAATTGGTGGTGGTTCAATGACGACAAGGTATCGGAGGTGACGGTGGACAAGGTCGAGGCTCTATCGGGCGGTGGCGAATTCCACTCGGCGTTGATTTTGCTGTACAAGGCCATTGATCTACCCAGTGTCGACGGACAGTAAGGATATGAACAGATAACAGAAAAGCATTTCATAGAATAGGTTTACGAAGACGAACAAAGATGAAATACGATATAGTATGACCGTATTGACACAATGTGTATCTTCAATGCAAGGTAATGTACAGGTCTATAGGGGGTATCATGCATAATCCAGCTTTGTACAGCGCTCAGCAGCCACGGCCACGCGTCCAGCTTCTCTCCAGCAGCGAAAGAGTCATAATTATTTCTCTCGTTTCGCCTTTTCCTGCTCGCGCTCCGCGAGACGCTCCTGAAAGACTTGCATCTTGCGATCGAATTGCGCGCGCTGCTGCACCAGATGTTTTCGCTGCTCCTCGAGGATGGCTATTTGCTGTGCCGGCGAGTCGGCGCGAAATTGTTTGATGGTCTGTATGTTTAAGAAAAATTAGAGAAGAATATTAGCCATTGAATTCCACACGTGAAGGAAGGTAGTGGTGGTGGTGGTGGTGGTGGTGGTGGTGGTGTACCTCGGTTTTTTGATGGTCGGATTTGAGCTGCGCACCGGTCAGGGAACCGACAATGATGACGGCGCAGAATGCGGTCGCCATCAAGCCTCCTCGCAGCTTGGGCTTTGGCAGCGGGTTAGACATGTTGCGATTGTGTCTTTTCGAATTCGGGATAAAGCAGCTTGATGAAATCGCTTCGTGGGTGGGAGGAAGGTGGGGGCTTGCGCGGCGGTGGCGTGGCTGATTGTCGCGCAATGGATAAGTACGGCGGAAGATATACTCGAACTTGGTGAATGTATTCGTTGATCATGTACAGAGGCGCAAACGTGTATTCTGGTTCGCCGATGCTCTTCGTGGTCTGCGTTGGATGTTGGTGAAATGAAGTTTGACCGTTAGTCAGCTGCTAGAGGACTTGAGCAGTAGCGCTATTGGCCGCTGTAAGTATTGCTGTGAGTGGGCAGTGTTCGTGACGTGTAGCTGGCGACAGGGGAGGCTACAGCAGCGAGAATCTGCTATGAGTGGTCTATGAACTCGTAAAATAAGAAAAAGTTATTATAAACTTTTTTCCAACCCTATGAACTCTATGAAATAGCTTTGTTTTATATTCAGACTCATGGGTGATAATAGTGCAACTTTCCAAGCGAGTTTCGACAAACGCCTCGATCGATAGAGCTAAAATGCTAGACATTTGCCCTGCATCACTTGAAGCAAAGCTCATATCAGTCTCTGGAGCGCCGAAATTGGTCTAGTTTTTCTCTTGCAAGAACAAGAGTCGCTTTACAGTAGGATTTGCCAAATTACAGAACTCGAGGCTGTGAGATTACATTACTTGTTTTGAGATTCATTACCAACAGTTGGGCGTTAAGAAGGCTCGCAGAGGTGTACACAAATGGCAACCGAGAAATCCGCCGATACTTAATGCCGTTGCTAATGCGCGTTATTTCAAGGCTGATTATTCGGGCGTGGTTATTAGCTGCAATTCTTGGATGCCAGCCGGTCAGCAGCGGGCTGACTCCAGGCATACTTGCGCCTGTCGCTCGTGTCGAGGCTGAGATACTGCCGATCAAAATTACTTGAAGCTTTCAGCTTGAACAGCCTTCAAATGCGGTAAACTTTTGCCACGGTCGCTGTTTCGGGGGAATGAGTTCGCGTAATCTGCAATGAGTCTTCCAGGGCACCCGACCTACCCGACTTGACCAGGTGAGCAGTCATCAGAGCTTTAGTCTCTTTGTTGTCAGCTTTTCAGACACTATATGTGGAAGGCTGCATGGCGAGCAATACGATGAGGAGAATCCTGCCAACGCCTGGTGCGGCTGAATGGCTCCCTCGACGTACGCTTGCCCCAATGAGGCCCCGGTCGCCGCCGAAACGACACTGCGCAGCCACTAGTACCCCAGTATCGGCACCCGTTGCGATCGTCAAGGCCAAGAGATCCACCGATACAAGGCCCTGCGCCATCAACATATGTAGGGCCGCGGGGCAGCCTGGAACCTTTGAGAGAAGCAGCGAAGTGACAAACCCTTGAGCTAGGTGCGGGTCGTGTAACGCCGTGCTGACGGTTCAACACTAGGACCTTTTTCGCTTTGGGAAAAGAAGGTTCAACGGAGCAAAAGAATTGGGACAAGTTGAGAGAAACAAGGAGCGCAGATCATTCAGCTCTAGCGCAGGGGTTGTCGGATTGTGGACAGCCCTGCGATGCCCCGGCTTATACGAGGCCCTGGCAATAATGCATATAAAGATTGCTGCCTTCTCACCTCCTCTGATAAACTGACCAGCACAACATCATCACTATCAAAATCTCATCTCGCACAAATACATCATGAAATTTGCCATTGCCACCATGATTCTCGCCGCCGGCGTCCTCGCCGCCCCCGCGGACGAGATGCTCGAGAAGCGCGACGGCCCTGGCATCGTCAAGGCCGCCAACAGCCAGATTGGCATCGACTACGTCTGGGGCGGCGGCGGCTGCAAAGGTCCCTCCAAAGGCGGCTACGACTGCTCCGGCCTGACCCAGTACTCTGTCTGCAAAGCCCAGGGCAAAACCATCCGTTCGTCTTTTAACCCTTTTTTTTAACAACGTTATCCTCATCATTGGAAAACGATTTCACTAACACCAGATGAACAGCCCGCACCACGCAGCAACAGTACCACTCGCCCATGGGTAAGCATCTGCCCCGCGCCCAGGCCAAGCCCGGCGATATGCTGTTTTGGGCCACTGGCGGCGACTGCAAGAACAAGGTTGCGCACGTTGGCATCTTTGTCAAGGCGGGCACCATGGTCAATGCCGCGCATACCGGCACAAAGGTCCGTCAGCAGGCTATCTGGACCTCGAGCGGCGGCTTGTCCATCTGCCCAGATGCCGTTCGGTTTTGGTAGAGTCCATTGGAGCAAAAGAACAACGCGAAAAAAAACCCGGACATATTAAATGTAAATAGAAAAAAAAAATCAAATATTGATGCTTACAAGATGTTGCGGCGAGTCGGTTTCTGGTGTCTATACCTGCGGGGAGGGGGGGCCGATTGTCTTACTTGCGGTTCAGCTTCTCAATTGCCTCTCTCGCGCCATCCCATTTCTTCCTCTTGCCGCCGTCAAACACGCGCAGCAAAAACGGCGAGTAGATGCCGTCCACGAGCAGCTTGTAGTATGCCCGGTTGCGCCACCAAAACACCCAGCCCTTCCACCCCCAGCCCAGGTTCTCGGCCAGCCCTGTACCCGCCGTCGCCTGCGCCCACGGCTCCCACGCGCTCTGCCGCACCCACGTTCCCGGCGTCGGCCCCTGGCTCGCGCGCGCGCAGACGAGCTCGTGGTGCGCGTCGACGGCCGACGCCATCTCGGCGGCCGGCGGCAGCGACGAGCGGCCGGCCCAGACCTGGGCGACCGCCATCGAGGCGAGGTCGTAGAGCGGAAACGCGCCGCTAAAGAACCACACGCAGCCCATGAAGGCGAGTGAGTCCGGGTGGTCGAGGGAAAAGATGTTTTGGTAGAGGCGGGGCAGCGGCTTCCCGTAGGAGCCCGGCAGCGCGTACCAGCTCGCGGGCGTGTCCCGCGTCGGGTCCGCGGCCGGGTCCATGATGCCAAAGTCCTTGCGGTAGCCGGTGCAGCAGATGATGCTGTCTACGGAGATTGTGCTGCCGTCGCAGAGCTGCACCGTGGTGCCGTCGAGGATGGACTGGACGGCGGGCACGGACGTGACGACGCCGTTGGCAAAGTTGGTGACGAGGTTGTCCGAGACAATGACGCCGCCAAACTTGACTGGCAGGGCCGGGGAGAGCCTCCACTCGGGCTGCATGGTGAAGCGCTCGCGCTGCAGCTTGCCGACAATCTTGTTGAACAGAAAGTCGAATAGAGTAGGGGAAAGTCTGTCTATGGCTGCCAGGAAATTGAGCTTCCGCAGCGTCAAGGTGTGGTCCGAAGGGATGCCGTCTTTGGTAGTTCGCGGGAGCTATATAATGTAAGAATTTGCCATAATGGACGCCAAATTCTAACAGACAACCTTGACCACTTACAATGTAGATGCCTTTGGCGTGTGAGATGTAGATTTCGCTCGCATGCCCGCGCAGCGCCTCGACGGTGTCGGCAGTCGTGTTGCCCAACCCTACTAACAATACTCGCTTTTCTTTGAATAGCTCTGGTCTGAGTAACTGCGTTAGCTTGATATGAGAAGCAACGTCACAAGGCGTAATTCACCTTTTAAAAGCCTGCGAATGAATGAATTCGCCCGTAAAACGCTCCACGCCCTCAATCTTGGGCATATTTGGATGAGACGTCGGTCCCGTCGACACTACCACCTTGTCGAACCGCTCCGATGCGCCGCCTGCCAATTTTAATACCCATTTCTTATCCGATTCGTCGTATTTTATATTTTGCACGGACACGCCGAGGCGGAATCGCTTCTCCAGATCGAAATGCTTGGCGTAGCTTTCCAGGTACCGCTGAACGTCCATGGCGCTCGCGTGAGAAGGGACCGAGTCTGGAAACTCATAGTCTGTAAAGCAGCCCTGAACATGGCTGTTAAGAAAAATTCATCAAGGTGAGAAACGAGATGCCCGATACTCACGCGCTCCTTTGAAATATTCACAATGGTTGCTGGTTTTGTTAGTGGCTTGCGGCTGAGCTGGACGCACGTGTGTTGTGTGACTTACATTCCAGCACAGAAGTCTGGTTTTGCTCTGTAAAGTGCCACACGCCGCCAATGTAGCTATTGGATTCGAAACCAGTCACGTCGAATCCTTCCTCAACCAGGTTCTTGACCGTGACCAGACCGACAGCACCTGTTTCATCCCGTTAGCACCGTATCGCAGAGTCGCACGCTTGCGCCGTACCTAGTCCAACGACTGCGACTGTGGCCTTTCGATCTTCCATGCTCGCGGGCTTTTGTGTGCTGACGAAGTATTAGATGGTGTGATTTTTTTCGGGTTGTCGCATTCAGCCGTAAACTGGATATTTATGCAAAACAGCAGCTAGGTGGCTTGGTCCATCAAGGTCAGCTTAATAACCGAGCAGCATGCTCGATATCCGTTATAGCGTGGCGTCGTGCAATCGGACCTACGAGCGCACAGCCTAATCGGGCGTCTTCGCGAAGGCGCGCCCGGAAATGTGGCTTCATGTGGACATGACGGGTTTAAACTATTTTAAGCTGGCCGTTGCGGGGAACTATAAATCTTACCCCACAGACCAAGATGTGTCAATGGCCCCCAAGGTCAATTATGTTTAGTCTTTTGTGCTCTGGAGCAGACTATTACCGGTATATACGCGTACGAGATGCATGCCCTTGATAGTTGCACGGCGCGACCCCAGCTCTTCCAGCAATATCCCCCTCTTTGGTCGGGCCCCTTGTCGACGCATCAACGGAAAATGTCACCTACCGATTTCGAAATCTTTGCCCCCGAGTTTGACAAACGAGATGATTGTGTCGACGTGACCTTTTGCGACGGCACGGCCGAAACATATGACATGCTCATTGGTGCTGATGGTCAGGGCAAATCTGCAACATGTTGCTCAAGAGCAAAGAAAAGGAAGCAGTTGACTCTATCAACATGGGCATCTACATGTGCAAGACGCTGCGCATCTCAAACACAAACAAGCTGATCACGCTCTACGTTGCCACCGGGAAGCGAATGTTGATGACCCATATTCAATCCTATACCAAGTATAAGTTCACATGGGCGTCCGCGGCACACGAGAAGGAGCTGGGCGGTGTACGCGCTCAAGATGTGGATGCGCAGAAAGCATTCTTTGGCGGGCTGTTCCAGAACGCCGGGTTGCGCGCCGAGGAGCTCGTCGGGTCCATTCACAAAGCCACCGACTTTTACGTCTCGTCGACGCACATGATTTGCAGCGGCATGTGGTCTGCGAACCGCGTCGTGCTCGTCGGCGACGCGGGCTACTTGCCGACGCCCCTCTCAGGCTTCGGCACCAGCGTAGCGCCGATTGGAGCCACGATGCTCGCGGGCGAGATTGCCAAGTATGGGCTGGAGCAGCTGCCTAAGGCTCCCGAAGCGTATGAAAAGAGTTTTCGTCCGTACGTGGAAAAGTCGTAGATAAGGGGTTCTCATTCCACCAGGCCCCCTTTTGCTTGGATCTAGAGCCCAGATGCGCTGTACTTGGAAGGGCTGTGGCCAGGAGCAACTTATTGCATATCGCGTTTGCAACTGTGAATAGCTAACAACTTTAGAACGCGTGTGAAATGAAGTGTATGCAAAAGAAGTGTACGCGAAGAATTGTCTGTTTGTTTCTATATGCTATCTGGCAAGTTCTCAAGGTAGCAAAATTTCAACAATTGCATCCTTGTGCGCCCTGCTGGATCTCTCTGGCGCAATATATTAGCCACGGTCGTATTTGCCGCCGCTAACACATTGTTCTGTCTTGTGGACACTAATACACTTGGACAGGGCCTGGTTGATGTTGCCGTCTAATACGCCAAAGGCAATGTAGCCGTGCCAGTTGCCATAGTGGTCAACATGGAGACACTGCACGTTGCACGAACCGTATTTTAGGTTCGTGTTGATCCATTTAGTGATGGCGCCCTCAATCGTGGCTTTTTGAGAAGTTGTGTGGCAGTTCGGAGCATCCGCATGGATCGCAACCTGCAAAGGTCCGTGATTGTCAATGTAGTAACCGCACTCGTGCTTGTCAGAGGCACTTTTCAACAAGTTGGCGACACCGACAGCAAAGATGCCAACAGATGCGACGGCACCCGTCCAGCCGTAGCATCGAGCATGCCAATCCGTGCCCACATTGGCACTACAGACGTGATCATTTTTGCGTGCAGCAAGGCTAGTGGAATTGTGGTCGATAACTAGCATGTTGGTGGCATTGGGGTGAAGGTCGCCATGTTCCTCAAAATACCCCAGGTCCAAATCGCTAATACCAAAGATAATCTCACCGTCCGACTGCGCGAATGAGAAGCAGACAAAACAGGATAGCAGAGCAAACAACGAGAGTCGCAAAGCCATTGCCGCCATTTTTGCCGTAGTCGTAGGAAATAACGAGGACGAAGGAGAGGCACACGGATGTTGCAATACTTCGAAACTCCGAAGTGCGAATGTTGTGGTTCAAAGTAGCCTCAGATACCAGGCTCATAAGGGCTTGCAGAGAAAGAGAATATGATACGGCCGAGAAGAACCTTGATGAATTCCGATTTGACCTTTTGTGTTTTAAGTAGGGAGGCAGTATGAGTTCTGATGACGAGATGTCGACTACTTATACGTCTGTTGTAATCCATTATGTCACTCAGATACCCTTGCCTTGGAGCATGGATTCATCACAAATCATATTAACCCGTGGATAGACAAGCCTTAACCGCCTATATTATCAAGTAACGACATGCACTTGGGCGACGCAACCGTCATCTCTAGTTGACTTGCCGGAAGCACTTCTCCGACGAGTGGATCCTCTAAACTCGCCGAAATATAATGCGATTGATGATATTAGGTATCATGGGCCGCTAAGAGGAACGATGCATTATTCCCCTGTCGATTTTTCCAGTGGATCAAAAACATGACAAGTGAAATGAAGTAGATTGCTCTTGCCCAATAAAATAAATCACATGTGGAAGACCCTCGCACTTCATGGCCCAAATTCTTTGACCTTGATTGCCTGCTTTTCGGCCTGAGGTGCTATTTCGACTGAGAGCAGTATCTATCTACTGACATCAAGTTGAATTCGGTGACGCATATCAGTACAGTGATAAAAAGATGAAGAGAGCGAGAATATGAAAACTCTGAATGGACCTGGGCCGGGCCCAACCACTTCGAGCCGCTGACTCCTGCAGGTCAGAAGCGGGTACCGTCAAATCTAAGCTACACTGAAAGCCAGGCAGCACGGTTTGCAGAGCTATCGCCTGATGAATAGATTGGAGACACAAGCCTTGCCAGGACCTTTTGCATGGGTAATATGGACGCCACTGGCCCGTCAACCCACAAAATACATATGACACCTCATATTCAGGTGCGGTTGCATTTCGAGGGCCGCTTGGTGGGAGTAAATATTGGGCCGATGATATCGGAGACCTCTTTGGCGGATCTAAGCTAACGGCGACGAGCTAACAGCCACCGGAACGTCGGGCGGGAAATCTGTCAGCCGCGGGGCTGAGGCGTTGCCGGTTTGCCGGCATATTGGCGCAAGAAAGTCCGCCACCGAGTCCCGTGGGGCAGACACGCAAGTGCTGGTACATTTGCTGCCTTGGGAGTCTTCACCAAGTGCTATACCCGTGTCCGTGTATCTTATTACTGGGATGTACCTATCACTGCGTGCTGCACGAGTATGTGCAATGTCTGTGATTCTTGCGGAGTGGTCAGTCAGTCCACTGCCCATCTATGCTTCATGCGTGCTTGCAAGCATAAAACACGAACCCTATTCTGCCAGATCATTAAGCGCCCGGACCGGCTGACTGCATCCCCCCGTTAGCAGCACAGGTTGTGCTCGGTCTGAACTGTAGTTGGCATCGCCGCCCATAAGCCGGCGTGTTCCAATTTGCAAGGGGGACTGCTGTGGAATACCTGGGAGCGCAGCAACGAAGCTAGTGATGGTGGCGTGTGGCGGCAAGGCCCATGAGGAGAGACCAAAGACGCAGTTTGGGTCCAAGATATGTTACTCAGAGCTGACGGGATCTGCGATGCAAGAGGGAGTGAGATGTGCCGGATGATGTTGCCTCAAGCTGAATCCAACTGATGGTGCAGAGGAGAGCAGGCTACGAAGTTGACAAAAGAGGTGCTAAATTATAGTTTTGGGTCAGAAGAGAGGTACCAAGTAGCTAACAACCTCTCAACGTACCTGTCCGGCGTTTTGTACAAAAGATCATGTCCACAGGCGTAAACTGCTAATGATCAATAAAGATTTGGGTCGGTTGCATCATGGGATGCATTGTATCACAGTGGTAACTTGCTCAAGTCTGCGCAGTCCGCAACATGCCCATGGAAAGATGACCCTGTATCGCAATGGTCCCAATGCCAAACCGAGTGTGAAATTGCACTCGGCATCTTCATCAAGTCGTCAAATGGTCCTGCTTTGGATGGAAACACTTGCGCTAGTGCCACGGAGAAGGCCGTCACGCCGCAACATACGAGCCGGATTGGATTGGGCATCCCTAAAAATTGTGACTGCCTGTTCCCCCCCGCCGAGAGGTACAAGAGTCCAGCTCTACCATTTGCCTAGGCTCAAAGCGGGAGTTGGTGCTGCAGACAATATCCATCGAGTCCTGTATGATAGTGTGAATGACCAAGTCTGTCCCTGAAGTCACCTGCATCTCAGCTCTGGCCAGACTTGGCTCACGAAACAGGCAGCTGCTGTACTGGTACGGAGTAACGGGTGCCATCATCCGCTGGAAGACTCGGGGACTGCCAATACTCTCGTGGCCCGACTACACAAACCCTTCTCTCGACTGCTGGATCCGCGGTTCGGGTTGGAGTCAGAAACGGTTGATCTCAGCCAACTTACGTTCCATAGCTAAAGCGCAATGTCGGGCCTCGTCGTTCTTGTAGTCAGAAATGCAATAAATTTCGAATGCAATGAGGGGAAGGGCAGGCAGACTGGCCAGGGCATGCGAGGAACTATTGGCACTGTTCACTACTCGCGTGCACCAGTCGCCCGGCGCAGTAAAATGGTCCACCGAAAGCACTGCTGCTGTGTGCAATTGGCAATTTGGCAATCTGGTAATATAACAGACAGGGGCAAGGTCTGGAGCCCACGCCAAACCACCCATCGTTTCCATGGCGTTCCGGCTCAGCCATGTGGCAGGTCGGCTACTGCGTAGGTGAACTCGATGCGATGCTGCGATATTGGGCCAGTGCGTTCGAGCGATGATCAAGCATCGAATTCGGTGTCAGGCCATCAGTTATCGTTGATCTGTTTGACGGTAAGAAGCTTGAAGAAACTCTGGATAGCGTAAGTTGAAGCTCCGTTCAGACGTTCAAAATCAAGGCGCTTGCCTCTGAGGGTCTTGATCTCTGGGTTACGCTTCAAAAAGCCTTGTAACCAGTTCTTTCCAACGTCATGATCATCGCCATTGCGTCGGCAGAGACTTGACGCGATCTTCCGGACCTGCTCGTGGGTAGGGGGGTTGCCAAGATGATCCTGAATTAGTATCCAGGAGACTAGGTGTGATTCTTGTATCGCCGGAAGCCGTTGCATTGACTCAAATGCCTCTTTTCGTGGCACTTTGCCGTTTATTCGATGCTGAATGGTTGCCCGTGGGACCGACCAGCGAGCTGCTGCCTTTCGCGTGCTCATGCCACTAATCACGTCTTGTATGGCATTTTGAAGGTCTTGTTCTGTGTATTGACTCATGATACTACAGTGGTAAAAAATAATAATAATAGGATTTATTTTGCGCGAGAAAACACGCTACTGATAATGAAGGTTTGTCGGTGTTGAGGGCAAGGTTGGGTGGCCCACACAAGTGGGTGGTCGACGTTAAGCCTCTACTGCGCCTCCGTTGGCTTGGCGGCATTTTGGTCGAGAGCAATGACCAATACCCCGTATCTCTGTTCAATCGTGGAGGCAGATGTCTGTCGCAGAGCGCTTCAGGAGGGCAAGTCGTGGAAGCTCTCAATCTCGAAGCGTGATCGATCTCTCGCTCTTTTTTTCTTTTGCGGCCACGCTCTCATATGCTCGTCATCGAGTATCAAATTACGTCAGCAGCCGTTTGGTTGTACTGCTCAAACGGGTGAATGGATGAGTCGTCGACGTTATTCTGCTTTGCGTTTAGTCGAGTCATGAGATAAAATAGTAGAGGTCAAAACCGAGGCAGGCACTTCATACAAGACACTCTCACGCATCAATGCTCGCCTCAGTGTTTTCGGCACCATCTTGACGATGCTCTGGCTCGCCAACTTGTGACTGCAGCAATGATCAGCTTCGTAGGGTAAAGGGTGCCTGCCCCACGACAAGGGTGATGATCGAGGTTGCACAGCATATTTTCTGATTTGTCTCGAGCGGCAAGCCAGATTATGTCTTGTTGGCCACACAATCGCGATGACGCCACCGGAGCAGCGACTACCAGGCTCACCACTCTTTGTGGTGCCGCCGACCGCAGGCCACACCCATACTATTCTGCTCCTTCACGGGCTCGGCTCTACGGGCGAACGCTTTGGTAGAGAGCTTCTTGACACAGCTGTGACTTCATCCGGGAAAAGACTCACAGATCTGCTACCCCATGCTCGCTTCGTCTTCCCGACATCGAAGCGGCGCCGCTCCACCGCGTTTGGCCGATCGATGCTCACGCAGTGATTTGACCTCTGCCGCACCCAGGACCCTGCGTACCTGCCGGACCGGCAGCTGCAGGGCCTCGCCGAGTCGGCTTCTGAGATTTTGGCCGTGATCCGGGACGAGCTCAGCCGGGTGCCGCCCGACAACCTCATTCTGGGTGGCCTCAGCCAAGGCTGCGCCATGGCGCTGGCAGTCCTGCTCTGCCTGGAGCATCCCGTCGGTGGATTCATCGGTATGAGCGGCTTTCTCACCTACGAGTCTGGTCTCCGCATGGTGCTTGCCGAGGACGATTATGGCGATGGTTTTGATCCATTCTTCGACGCGGAAAGGCCGGCAAGAGAGCAGCCGGTCCGCGCGCAAGAGTATGGGCGGGAGCTGCTATGCCTGGACCCGGTAGATGGTCCTTCGTTGCAAAGAACTGCATGCCGTACGCCGGTTCTTCTTGGACACGGCGCCGAGGATGAAAAGGTCCCGATTCGGTTGGGGGAGGCGGCGGCAGAAGTCATGCGCGCCGCGGGCTACTGCGTCGACTGGAAACGCTACGAAAACCAGGGCCACTGGTACAAGATTCCTGATCAAATCGACGATATCGTCAACTTTATTTCGCGAATAGGGTGGAATATGAAAGCAAAGGACGACGATATGTGACTTGTCATTCCTATATAGGAAGCTACTGAATCGCACAAATGTCCTTCAATCATGTGAAAGCCTTTGCAGATAATTAAGATGTAGGGTTCGTCCTTCTTCTAATAGTTAATACAACTCCTTCGCTAAATATACAGTGCCCTGATACGGGCTGTTATTATACGCCTCTGCCTCAACAAACCCCTCCGACTTGTACAGATTGATGGCTGCCTCCATCCTTGCCAGGCTGTCCAAAAGCACCTCTCTATACCCTTGTTCTTTCGCTCGCCGCAGCAACTCCAAGAGCAGTCTTCGCGCCACCTGTCTCCCTCGAGCTTCAGGATACACAAACAATCGCTTCATTTCGGCGCATCGATGCCCCGGCCTGGCTTTTGGATGATTCAAGGGGAGCTCCAGCGGTCTTAAGGCAACGCAGCCCAAGGCGGCTCCCGACTCGGAGTCCACAGCTAGCAACAGGGAGCCTGTTGGCGGCGCGTACTTTCCTGGCAGTCCGGCTAGCTCCGATGCATAGTTTTGATGCGAGAGATCTTCGTCGAGCCATTCGGTGTACGTGTGGAAGCACTTGATGACGGCGGCGAGGTCCTGAGGTGACTCGGCCTGGCGTATCAGGACTCGAGATGCATCTGTTGATATTGATTTCATGACTATCGTACTGTATTAAATGCCAGATAGATGCAATTGCGTGCAACGAGGAGTTTCCGCTGTTGAAAGCTACCTCGATTTAGTAGTCTTGCGTAGGTCGGCGGTTTTTGAGGAGTATTACCCGTCCAGAGGATATCTTGAGGACACTTCGGTTATTTTTGGGAGGTTTAAAAGCTTCTTGATCTTGAGTTGCAAGAGCGTAAATGTAACGTATAGATGACTCTTCAAGCTTGGATGGACTGCCGCCATTGGCTCATCCCCACGAACGCTGGCTAGGATTGGGCTAAAGAAGAAGCGGGAGGCCTGAAGTTCACCAGCATGGGGGCTTTCTGCTCCTAGAATTAGCAAGTCGATTTCTTTGAGATTGATTTGATTTAAGCCTTTTTTCTTGTTTTGTGTTCTCGCTCCATGCAATGGCTACAATGAGCCAGCGGAGCTGGTCGGTGCCCCACCATTACATCAGATCATTAGCGCAGGTGCCTAGTTACTCATCGAGAGCTCAACGTTGCAAGCTATCCAGAAGTCATCCTCTCACAAGCAAACAAAGCATCACAGCCTCGCCGAGACGAAGCGAACCGTCTGCCGAAAACTTTACACCTGAAATACAAAAGGCACCTTGGTTGGGAAGAAATACAGACGCAACCGGCGATATGGCCGACCCCGAGACGGACATTGGCCAGCTGTCCCCAATCCAGCAAGAGGCGCTGCAACAGTACTTGGCCGTAACAGACCAAGAAGTCAAGGACGCAATTCCACTGCTACAACGTTCACAATGGAACGTACAGGTAATCATTACGACCGGAGTCTGCCTTTGAAGCTATTTGCTGATAAATCTAAATAGATTGCCATTGCCAAATTCTTTGATGGCGAAGGCCCCGACCCCTTGGCCGAGGCCATGGCTGCCAATCAAGCCATTCCGCAAATCGCCGCACGACACGAGAACCTGCAACAGAGCCTGCTCGCCTCGGAATTTAGCTCACGAGTGGCACCGCGCCGCGATCGAACCGACCCAGCGCCGCGTATCGTGCCACAGTCGTCGACGACACACGGAACACCCTGGCTACTCGGCCTTTTGCTGACGCCACTCAACTGGGGCTGGCAGGCAGCGACGGTGCTATTGCGCACAGTGCTATACGTCGTGTCCTTCTTACCGACGGCGATTCGGCCGACACTCCTGACGAGCCGACTCTCGACGGCGCTGCAAGGCGGGGGAGGTGGCGGGGGGCGGCGAATGCTGATGCCGCGCGACGCGGCGGCGCGGTTCAAGCGCGAATTTGAAGAGGAGCACGGGGAGAATGAGCTGCCGTTCTTTGAGGGCGGGCTAGCGCAGGCGCACGATCTGGCCAAGAAAGAGCTCAAGTTTCTGCTGGTGGTGCTGCTCTCGCCTGAGCACGACGACACGGCGGCGTTTGTGCGCGAGACCCTGCTAGCGCCCGACGTGGTGAGCTTTGTGCGGGATCCGGCGAGCAGCGTGGTGCTCTGGGGCGGCAACGTGCTCGACTCGGAAGCGTTCCAGGTGGCGCGCGAGTACAAATGCACGCGGTACCCGTTCTCGGCGCTCGTGTGTCTGACACCTAAGGAGGGCAGCGCTACACGCATGGGCATCGTTAAGCGGCTCTCGGGTCCCATGCCTGCAGCGACATACCTTTCAGAGCTGCAGGGGGCCATGGAAAAGTATGGCGCCGACATGGCGGGCGTGCGGGCCGAGCGCAGCGCGCAAGAGTTTGCGCGATCCCTGCGCGACCAGCAGGACTCGGCTTATGAGCGGTCGCTGGCGATTGACCGCGAGCGCGCGCGCGAGAGGAAGGAGGCGGCGGCAGCAGCGGCAGCGGCGGAGAAGCGTGCACTAGAGGAAGCACATGCCGCCGCTCGGCGTGCGGAAAAGGGCGAGCAGTGGCGGGCTTGGCGGGCAGCGCGCATTCGGCCGGAACCGCCGGCGAGTGATAAGGAGGTTGTGCGCGTGGCGCTTAAGATGCCCGAGGCGTCGGGGGCGGGCCGCATTACAAGGCGGTTCGCGCAGGACGCGCCAGTCGAAGAACTCTACGCGTTTGTGGAGTGCTACGGGGTGCAAGACGACAGCAGCAAGGGCAGCGCGGAGAAGCCAGAAGACTATGAGCACAAGTACATGTTTCGTGTGGCATCGACGCTGCCAAGAGTCGTCTACGAGCCTAGCACAACAGAGACGATGGGGGCGACGATTGGGCGGTCGGGGAATCTGATTGTGGAGGCGATAGAGGATAGCGCCGAGGAGGAGTGAAGATAATGGCGGCAGAGACTGTGTATTACTAGCGATGATGAACTATGCTGATAAGCTTATAGAAGGGCACTAAACTGAGGTTTGTCTAGAGGCGGTGTACTCATGAGGTGAGCGGTTGAAGCTGCTCCGCGACTAGAGGTGATTGGTTGTATTGTACGACAGTTGCAAGCGAGCGGCCAGACCCCGACGTGACAGGTTTCGGCAGATGGGATGACGGGCGATGATCGGGGTTTCGGACTGCAGAAGCAGAGATGACCAACCGGGGAGATGATGGTCTGCTGGCGTTGGTTAGATGCATTATTCATGGGCTGCACAGCCCCAAAGCTCTACGCAAGCCGCCCGGAGACGAGAGTTTTGGTTGGTGGCGAGGTGGCTTGATTGGGGGTGCCGAGAAGTTGCCGATATGGGGTTACAGTTTATTTTTTTCCTATACTCATCTTTCTGTTAAAAAGAATCCGTGTCGTCTGGTTGATTTTATAGTGATTTGTTTGCCTACGTCTTGCAAGTTGTTGCAAGTTGGTTCGCAGATCGGAAGTTTCCCAATCGGGCAAGGCGCTAAAGTGATGGCCGAGTGGCAGGGCGGGATTGTAGGTACGTTGGTACAAGTCCGACTGGCCGCGCGGCTGCTGCTCTTCTCCGTAATAACTACGAGTTTTAAGGGATACTGATTGAGTAAGTGCAATTCCAGGCAATGGGGCCGGTGGGATTCATTTACCCGCAGAGGCCGATTGCTGAATAAATTCCCGGGAAATGAGGCAGTCCGAACAGCTGTTGGTCGCCCTGTTGAAGACAGCATATCGTCAGAGGTACTTGCCTGGATACTTGTACTTAGCACGGACGCCCACAGCTCTCCCAGATCTACGGATTATGATCAACTGTGTCGCGTATTCGCATGACACTAAAGTACCCTGCCAGACTCTCGCCTACTCAATGAATAGTTAGCGCCTGACACGTGTTTAGCCTTGGCAAAGGCAAAAAAGGGACTCATTCTTGCAGGCGGGTTGAAACATTGTTGGGGAGACGTGTCGTGCTAGTTACCTCGAGGTACGGCCGCCCACTGGCACTTGCAAGGCCATGACCCCGCTAGATTGCAGGGCACAGCCACCTATAAGAGACATTTCGTCAGCCGCCGCGACGCTTTTCCAGTGGCCCTAGGCCCCTAGCTGACGTTGCCAGCGGAATCTGGGGGGCATGGGGGTCCATGAAAGTACCTTCCAATACCCAGGCTTGTACTCCATTTGAGCATGGTTGTTCCGCCACAACACCCGTTTGCCAACATCTCCATGCCTACCTATTCAGCCTATTTCTTCCCCTCCTTACATCACGAACGCACCTTGCGCTTCTCATTCTCAAACCTTGATATTGTCGCCTCTTTCACTACCCTTTGTCGAAGTTTATACCCCCCGCCCTGTTTGCTATCCTAGCGCCATCGCCTTGTCCTCGATTCCCACCCCCCGTCGCAGCATTGCCCCCCTGTCCTCATCAACATCATATCTCCGCCGCCTCGAGGCGTTTCGACCGTCACTTCCCACCAGCCAGCGCAGATCTTGAATGAATTCCCTGCATCGAGTCACACACTGCCGCCCATTATGAAGTCGATGAAGAGCCTCAGCATGAACAAGATGCTCGGCGGTATCAAGAGGAAGAGCACACGTAACGCAACCCAGGATCGATTGTTACCCGGACGCGACCAACGCTGACACCACTCGTGATACCAGTATCGGCACCAAGCGCCTCGACAGCCGCAACCGTGCCGCAACAAGGCGAAGCCCCCGAGAAGACGGCACATAACAGCGTGGTATGTTGGTCGCCGTGACCTCGGAGCTGTGCGCCCCCGTCGCTAATGCCGTCACCCGCAGAAAGCGTTTTGCGAGTCGGGATACAATGTTCAGGTACGTCGTCTTCCTATGAACCCGCACATTGACCTTTTCCGAGATTTTGTGCCTTTGCTGACACTGCATTTTGCTTCAGGGTGACGAAGTCCTTTTCCTCCCACCCATTGTCGACGCCGCCGAATCGTCCCCTGCCGCCGCCACCGAGTGCGCCCGGCTGATCCGCAAATTCATGGCCAAGGACTACTATGGCCGCGCCGCCTGGCAGTACAACGCCATCATGCTACTCCGCATCCTGACAGAGAACCCGGGCCCCATGTTCACCCGCAATATCGACGCCAAGTTTGTCGACACCTGCAAGGCCCTGCTGCGCGGCACAAAGGACCTCAATGTCCGCCAGATGCTCATCGAGACTCTCGACGACTTTCAGCAGACCAAATCCTACGACGAGAACCTGTCTATCCTGCTACAGATGTGGAACAAAGAGCGCGTAAAGATTCAGGTCGTCTATGGTGTACGCTCCCACGCGCGCTGTGCTGCTCCCCTTGTAACGCTACTAACATATCTTTCCTAGAACGCCCCAAGAATGGCGCCGCGCCCGTTTCTTACAGATTCACAGCAGCAACAACAGTCGCCAAACAACACCAACGGTCAAACTTACTTTTCCCGGCATCACACCAACAATAAGCTGCCCGGCGCCGTCGAGCTCGTTAGCCGGCTGGAGGAAGCAAGAACGTCGGCCAAACTTCTCGAACAAGTCGTCATGAACACGCCCCCCACAGAGACGCTCGACAATGAATTGATAAAGGAGTTTGCCGACCGCTGTCTGAGTGCCTCGAGAAGCATCCAAGGATACATGGTCGCCACCAACCCCGGCCCCGACAACGAGACGATGGAGAGCCTCATTGATACAAATGAGCAGCTGCAGACGGCCCTCAACCAACACCAGCGCTCTGTCCTCAGTGCTCGCAAGCAGCTCGGTCTCAACGTGCGCTCCGAGGAGACGGACTCTGCCGACGGGACACCCACACGCGAGTCCGTCTCGCCCATCCTCGACTCGCCGGCACTGCCTGTCCGGCCCGGCAAGGGCAAGCAGACGGACCCATACCATACCGGCTCCGGTGTGGGCATAGCTTCTGGCTCTGGCTCCGGCTCCTCCTCCAGCAAGGGCAAGCATGCACAGGAAAATGGCGCCCATGACGACGAGGACCCCTTTGCGGATCCGAAGTACCTAGACAATACTCCCAACGGCGCGACCCGCTTGCGGACGAATGAGGAATTGCCTCATGAGCCCTTTCATCCGGGCTTCACCGCTGCCACGGACCCGCCTACCGGCCACCTCGCCCCCGGCCGCGGGACAGGCTCGGCGGCGACGCGGGACACGTCAATAGAGGATTTATACGATGCCGCTGCCTCGACCGGCAAGGGCAAGTCTGCCGCGTAAACGAGTTTTGATTGGGGCGCAGCACTGAATGTCATGCAGTGTCTGCTCAAATGGAAGCGTGTAGTTGGAGGAAGTGAAAGTATGTCGAAAGCATATAGCCTGCAGGACGTTTCGAGTCACAAGCCAGTCTCTTTTTCCTCTGCTTTTTTGGCTGCATGTCAAGGCCAGTTTGAGCGATTTTCCGTCTCGTCTTTATCCGCTTCTTTTGCGTTTTTTCGTGACGTCTGTCATCTTTTTTCACTGTTTAGAAACAAAAAACGGGTCTTTTTTTCTTTTCCTTTTGGTTTGGCTCTTGTCATGCTGTTGTTTGATACCATCAATGTCCTTTTTTTCTTTTCCGCGGTTTCTCTGCCGATAGCCAACAATTGTATGGCAAACTCTATACAATCGGAATGTAGCACGTTGACCATTTACATGACCTGTTTTCTGCATCTTTCTTTACTCGTGTATCGGCCTGTCTATGACCGTCTGCCCATCTTTTCCTGTGAACTCTCTGTCTTTGGCGGCCCATGACCCGTCTGTTCAACTGATATGGTCTCGGGGAGTGGCAAGCGGTTTGAAGATTTACGCGGCGAACCCATGATAAGCGGTATGATGGAACCAGGTGCAAACCGGTCTGATGCGGATGGATGTTTGCATTCGAGGTGGAAATTTACAGGCAAGCTCCTCGCAGTATTTTCTGTGACATAGATGTCCAGAGTGCCTGAAAACGCACAATGATCGGTGCTTGTACGTTGAACTGGCATATACTTATTTGGAACTAGGTCGACGGATCAGAACGACTATTTTGAACGTGATCCTTCAGAATCGAAGGAATACTCGCGTTAACGTGAGATTATGCTAGGTACGTGCAGCATGTCCCGCAGGGACAATGGTGACGGCCAAAGTTGGCCGCAAGACTTGGGCGGGCTTGACCCTTCGTGATGCTTCAGCTACAACTGTCGAGTGCACACAGTCGAATGAAGATACTAAACACATCACATGAAGAACAGCAAATCGATTATTTTCTGACTAGATGCATTCTGTCTACAAAAGACGCCAACTGCCGGCTCGTGGCGGAACTCATGCCACGAGGTTGACTGCTTGTGCTGACGACTACATTAAGAAGACAAAAGTTGCCTACATCCAGAACAACGAAGTCGAAACAAGGGTGACTCATCGAATTGGCCATGCTGTTCGAAATGACAGTGAAAACTCGCTTTACACCTTATAGTGCGACAATTTGGCGTCTCCTCAAGTACTTTACGGCAGTTGTCGAAGTTTGCCTGTATCTGCTTGCGCTCTTCCCTTTCCCTTTCAGAGTCTATCTCAGCATCGGCAAGCTTCGCTTTGTAAAGTAATCGCGATTCATCATCCGCTGCAACGACTCTGTTGACAATCTCAATGGCGAATCCGCCGACGAGCGCAGCCAGCTCACCAGACTCGAGATGTTGTCTTATGTTTTTGGCGATTTCCTCGGCCAGCATGGCATGTACTGTGGTGTCTCCGGTTCTGCTCAACGCCACCGTGGCTGCCTCGAGCAGGTGCGACTTGTTTGCGTCTCGCAATGCGTGTTGGAGTTTCTCTTTGCTGAGGTCTGCGAGCGCTTTGATGTCGTAGTAGTCGGCAATAGAGTTTACCAGTACGTGCTGCACCGGGTCCTCTTCTGGCACCTCGTCATCGTTTGTCTCTGCATCTTGATGAAACTGCGGCTTGTAGTCACCAGTGTAGAGAAACTCGACCATCTTTTCGACGGTATCTGTGTCATATTCCTCAATTACGATTTTCCCCGTCTTGGATGCCTTTTTTTTGTGTGTGTCAGTCTCGTCTCTTCAAAACAGCCTTCAGAGACAGCAGAGAGACGTACTTGAAATGGCTCTCGAATCGCGGCAGCAAGAACCCGGCATTGTGCACACACGACTGCTTTGTGCACATTGAACTGTTTGTCGCCGCAGACCAAGGTCAAATCAGAGAATTGGCCCGATTCAAGAAGATGGCCGAGATTGATCCCTCGAGCTGAAGCGGCCATGGCTTTTGAGGTCTTGTCACAAGTTGTAGTTTCTTCGTCAGAAGTTCTTTAGGAAGCCAGAAGGCGAGTGTGATATTTTGTTTGCGAAATGGTTGAGCGAAGAACATGATTTTCACAACCTCCTTTACTCTACGCGCTGCATTCACTTTTGTTTCACTTTTTTTCGTTTGTTTGCACTGTCGAACTAAAGCCGTCTTAAATGACCAGTACAGCAACATGTCTTTTCTATACCTTTTCTATAACCTAATTTCCAAGTCATTATGTGTTGATAGGTAGAAGTTATCACTATTTACTCGGCATCTCTCCCAACCCAAAAGCACCACGGCTCCAACTCTGCCCCGGCCGATTCCGCCTACGCTCGGACTACTCTCCGGCTTTACCACTCACTTTCCCCCTTTTTTTAGCCCACGATTGCAAATCGCCATCGATCCATCGCCATTTTTATGCACAACAGCGCCCCTTAAAAAATGGCCCCCTTCCTTTGCCAGCGCCGCCCCGGCAGGAGCCGAGACTTTGTCACAAAGCGAACCGGAAAAAAAAACCTTGCCGCCACACAATGTAACCCCCCAAAACGGGGAGTTGACAATGGGACATAAGAGCTGAAAAAAAAGGGGGGGTGGTGGAATAAAGAGTAAATAAAACAGGCAACAGGATCAGTGCGGTGCGTGGGAAGAACTAGTTCATGTTGAGTTCTTGTGCCCGAGACAGGTTACAACGGGAGTATTTACTAGGTAGATCCGGACTTCGCATGAGCGCGCGAGGTTGGCTCAGGCTGCGATGTCCGGTTACACAGGTACAAGGTCATTCATTGTTTCAGGGCCCGAGCTGCGCACGCTGTTCAAAAATAAGTAAAAAAACGGCCCCCCAAGTCATTCTCTTAAAAAAAAATACATTGTTCGGAAACTTTTTTTTTTTTGTTTCCGATATGACAGGTCAGCTGCCAAAGTTACTCGTGACTGTTCAAAGCGCACAAGTTGGTAGAAAACGGTAGGGTGTGCAACTACATCAAGGCTCTTCTTGCAGATTCACAACAAGGTTTCAGATTTGGGCCATGGGAAAATGTCAAAGAAACTAATACCTCAGGCATTTTAAACGACCAATCAACTTTCAAAATGCAGCAATATCTAAAAAAAAAAAAAGAAAAAAGTAACACTTATTCACGCACGTCGTAAATCGACCTCTCATGAGGCTTTGCTCACATGTCTGTTTGCACGGGCTTTCGCTCGCCCACGTTTTTTTTCTTTTTTTTCTTCTTGCCTCGGCCATACTTGTTTTTATTTATTTTTATTTTTTTTATGATATCGTCTATTTGTCATTTACTTTTCTTTAGTGTAATTGTCTTGGCAGTATGTAGCCGTTTCTGCAATGTTTCGAATGTCGTCATCATCCATTCTGACAGTGACGGCTCCCCTCTTTGCCGACAGCCAAAGACGGCTAAACAATGTCAGAGAATTCTTTGAAACGAACCGGCTTGTTGGTAACCGAAAGCAAAATGTAACCGCCTTATAGTTCCTCCCTGTACATAGATGACTTTGATACATGGCGTCAGTGTCGGACCAGATCTAACGTTACTCGTGTTGGCCTGTCACCATTTTGGTACGCTTACGCCGTCGCCGCTTACACCGATTCCCCATTTCTACATATATCTCTTTCTTTTTTCACTTTTATCTTTAAACGACATGGTGCCATCGTATCCCGTCTCCAGTGATTAGCAGATGTGCTCGGCATAGTCCGGAAAAAATAAGTGTCCACGTTCCCAAAGCAGCAACCTGTTGCATTCCAGTCCGTGTCCCAACTCAGCAAACCAACCAACCACAGTCACGACACACCCTCCCTTTTACCGTTTCGTCACGCGCTTAACCAATTTCGTTCATTTACTTTTTCCATGTTCCTTACTCGTGGGAAGAAGAGCGGGCCAAATCCACAATGCGACGTGCCCTGCCTCGCTCCGACAACGCGGCTCTCCCGTCCGTCGCTCTTTTCTTCTACCAATACCACGGCCACGGCGAGGAACCACACACACACACACACACACACACACACACACACACACG